AAAAAAAAATGGCTGTTACCCTCATCTGAATCACCATTTGATTTTGAACCATCAATAGATTTAGTATCAGTTTCCGAAGACGTCGCACATCCAGTTTTACCTACATCTTGTTTTCTTTGCAGTTTCTTCATCTAAACACAAGTAAATGATCTTGCAAAAAAAAAAAAAAAGCATAAAAAAATAATTCTGCCTTAAGTGAAAAAAGAACAATTTTTAGTTTGGTGATTACGAAAATGACAACTAACTTTTGCCCTTTGATTCTGAAACCAAACTTGAACTACTCGAACACTTAAGCCAGTCTCCTTTGCTAATTGTTCACGTACCTAAAATAAAGTTGCACTTTTATTTCACCGCAAAACAATTAGAAAATTGTAGTATACGGTAAAAATTTTTGGCTGTAATTGTAATATTCCGCTTATTACTTTTGAAAAAAATTTTATTATTCAAAAAAAATAAACAAGTTACTCTAAAAAAAAAAAAAAAGGAAAAGTGTAATAAAACGGTGACTATACTCGACCTTTCTGCAGGGTTTTGAACTCTTATCAAAAGCTGCTTTGAATGCCTTTCGCTGTGACGTATTTAGTATGGTTCTCGGCCGTTTTGGAATTTTTTGATTTCGCTCATCTGAATCAATATCATAATATCCTAAAACTGTTGCTTTTTTGGTCGACATCAAATTAAGATGGAGTGAACACAAATATTCTTCTTCTTCTTCTTTTTCTGTAAAATTTACGCTACTGTAGTGTTTGTTCACCAATAAATTTGACAAAAATTCTTTAATGAACAAATTATTTTATCACATTTTTGTACACATATATATCTGTCATTTAATAATAAGATTAAAACAAAAAAAAAAAAAAGAAATGAAAGAAGAACTTTTGTCTTGTAGGTTTACCCTGTGAAATATTTCGACCACAAACATAATTCTCGTAATCAATACGGCAAATAATTTGTCCATCGACAACCAAATATTGGTCACCCTTTTTCAGTGGCTGTGAACAGTAAATGCATGAAAAGCATTCGGCATGATAAGTATCGTTGAAACAACGAAAAACAAAATCTGTTGGCCGTAATACTCGGTTGCATCGAGCGCATTTTGTGCTAAATAATCTGTAACCACGCTTATCACTGTTACATTATTGAACCTTTTCACTTTATTAGTATTCAATAATAATATATTTATTTTTTGTTTGTTAAATATCCTAAAACATTATCCTTGTGACTTGATAATTTTCCAAAAAAAGAACAAAACGAAAATTAATGAATTGTATGTACTGCAGGTGTATTGAGCAAATGCAGCCAATATAAGGGTCAAAATGTCAACAGTCGTTCAGTCGGTTTTGACGTCTATATAATTTAGACGTACAAAAAGATAGTTATCAGACAAATTCAGATACACTGGCGATTCCAAGCAGCATGTGAAGAAATTCTCAAAATTACCATTTAGTGATGAAATTTATTAGGATCACTCAGAGAAAATTTGATGAGTTTTGAAATTCTATATAGTTGGTATGGGTACGGTGGGTACAGTAGTACAAACAGAACTAACATTGCTAATGCATTTTTAAGCTTGAACCTCTTAGTTTTAATCTTGACACACTCGCCATAGCACCTAAACAGTGTTTCGGGGCTTCTCATTATTTCAAGAACTCTTAAAGCTTTATTGTTTTGTGGTTATTTTAAATGTCTGAAAATGTGAACATATTAAAGTCATAATTTTCAAAAGTTGTTGAAAATGATCAAGTTCTGTTTAAAATATCTCTATTTTAACAATTCTAAACACATATGAAACAGTTTAGTAAGGTAAAATCAATATTGAAGTTATGATGCATTATCACTGTAGTTGACAAGAAAATTTTCGTAAAGTTATGTTTAACCAGTTCACCTAATTTAACAAACAGTTTTGAAGCTAGAAAAAAAAAATCGATAATTTAATTTTTCCTGAAAAGGTGAAGAAGAACTTATGCAGAAAGGCTAAAATTAAATTTTATAACATTTGAGTGCCTAAAAGTGGTTTATAAGTATTGTTGAAAATGATGTTTTTTAAGTCCACTTAATGGGCTTTTTTAACTAACAATGTATGTATATATCCGTTGTGAAAACGGATATATTACAATATGGGCAGCTGAAAACAACACTAAGCGGCTTATCTGAATCAATCAAAAACAATCAGAATTGATGTTCTGCTGTCCTTTCTTCCCCTTCTCATCATTTCGTTGTCCTTAGGTCAAAATCTACTTCACACTTCCAGAAGCTGATCAGAAACAGGACTGCCTTTCTGCCTTCTTTTCCGTTCTACATTACCACTTAAAAATCACAAATTTATGATGCTTTTTGGACAGGAACCATCTTCACGCTTCCGCCTCCACCCTTTTCTTGTCCTCTATGTATGGATTGGCCATCGACAGTCGTTAGTAGTTCAATTGTTACAGTAATCGACAAATTTAGTGCATTCTTTTTTGTTGTTATTGTTGTCACAGAATCACTTTTGAAATCTCTGCCATTATCGCTGATCATTAAAAACCGATATCTGTGCTGCTATTTTTATCAAAATTTTACTTGGTCAATGCTATATTCTGTTCTTGAAGAAAAATCTACTGAATTTTTTTATACTGTAAGTGGAGAAAAAAAGAACCGAGAAAGCCTAAAGTGACAGAAAAAAATTGAATTATAAGCGTAAAATAAAAAAAAAAAAAGAGAAAGAGAAGAAAAGGAGAAAAAAATATGTGGAAAAAAAAAAGAATCGAAAATGCAGTTATTTGGCGGAAAAAGCGTATCATTTTGAGGAAAGAATTGCGGTCAATGAGAGGAAATTAAAATAAAAGAGGTGACATTGATAGACAGAATCACCAATTTGGAATATCCGAAGCACAATTACCATCAACAGCTGAAAAGCATCAATTGCTGTGCTTCTCCAGGCTTCTTGTTCATGGCGTTGCTGTTGTTGATGATGTTTCTGCTGCTACTGCTACTGCTACTGCTGCTGATACCGCTGTTTTTTTTATTTTTATTTCTTTTACTACCTCTTTCATCTTATGCTTTTTGTTCATCCACCCAAAAAAAAAGAAAAAAAAAAACTGAATGAATGATTATATATAAAGCAAGAAAAAAAAAAAACAGAAGC